ACATTAAGTCAAACACATGAACATTTATTAATTCCAGATTGAAAAATATTTATATCACCCAGAGATTGGTGGATGGTCCCATTTGGTGCTGTCCAGCATTGGACACACTTTAGAGAAAATGCAGTCCTGACACTGACTCTGAGTCTCTCCTTTTCTTCATACAATCACGTAAGTGGGAAAAGCCATGAAGCAGCATGTTGGCTTTTCCTACAAATTTTTTGAACATTGTTCAAATTACAGCTGACATGTCTCCATTACCTCATCTATAAAATGAGCATAAAAACAGTAATGTGTCTAGTTTTTCTTTTCATTCTTTTACTGAACAAGTAGTTTTTTAGGGTCTACATTTTACCCATTATTCAATGTAACATAGAAAAGACTGGAAAGCAATTAAAAAATTCATTCCTTGATCTTAAAATTTTAGAAATTACTTGAATAATGTGGGATTTCTGGTATCTATCACAAATGAGCAATGCAGTCCTCTGTTGGAACAAAAGTATAGAATAGTAGAAAGTTATCCTATTATAGGGAAATATAATTATGAAGTATTATAGTTAGACAAACTGGTAATTGATTATTTTCCATATATTTTCTTGCACTCTTCTGCAGAATCATTGACATGTATTCAGGTTCAGTCAATTTCATCTGAACAGAGCCTTCGAGTGTAATCAGTGACTTACCCAAAACAGCATATTGTTCGACGTTCTACGGCTTTTATATTAAATGTGAAGTTAAATCATGGGCCTGAGGGCCTCCTATGTGCATCCTCACTCTGCCATTCTCTATAATTGTATCTCTTGTATAATGATTTTACATCCATGTAGACCCAATTTACACTGAGGTAGGAGTCAAGAAAAAGTGACCACATAAGTGAGGGGAACTTGGGAGAAGGCTGTTTGTGGGCAAGCCAAATCTTGCTGCAACATCATATTGAGTGGCATTTGTGATTTTGTACCCTAAACAAAGTCAAGAATGCCTCAAAAACTGTTTCTAGTCTTATTGTTAGGAATATTAAATAAGTTAATTAACAAATGTGAAGATTTAGATATATTCTAGCATAACAAATGCCCAGTATGTGTGCACTATTATCAGAGTTGACTGACCAGTAGATTCATTGGATAGTCTATCCTGCTGGAAGCTAAAAGGCTTTTTAATATTATGAGAAAAGGAAATTCCATGAGAACTATTCATGTCATTTCAAAATGGTAATGAGCTATGAGTCATATAATCAAAAACAGTATGTAGAAGTCCTTGATTATATACAGAATCTAGAATAAGGTAGATTTGGTTTTAAGAAAGATCCCCAAATTAATGTAATCTATTGTTGTCTTCTTGTGATATTTTCAATTGACACAAAAAAATTATATCTATTTTGAGGATGTGGATGATGTTTCGAAGCTTGTGTACTTTGTGTAATGAACAAAACAGGATAATTCACATATCCACCACATCAAGCACTTATCACTTTTTTTGGTGAGAACATTGAAAATATGTCTTCTGGATATTTTGAAATATATAATACATTCACCTTTAACATATGCATTCTGCTATGCAATATAACACCAAATTAGAGTATTTTTATAACAAATTGTCCACAGAGATTGAGTCTTTTCAAACATAGATTTTCAGTTCAATTTTTAGTTATTTGTTATACCTTGCAGATTAGTAATTGTTTTACACAAGGGACCAATTTCCAAGGAGCTTATTTTACAGTATAAAGTCTCTGTGTACTACACACATCTAACATCTTCAGTTCTAAGGAGCAACAGTGTGTAACTCAGGATTGTTTACCAAAACTAGATACCAATTTCTTGAAAATAGAAGTAAATATATTTTCTGAGGAAAATTTACATTAAAATATATTTAAGTCAACCATCTTCTAATTACAGAATGCTGTGAGAACCCTTATTTTGTGTATTTAGTATTAAAAATAGTTTGTCTTTTTACTGAAAGACAATTGAAGAAAAATCATAAACATTTCCTCTTTCATAGGAAAAATAAACATCTTTAAAAAATACAGAATAAACAAAATGGTAGATTTCTCTCTCTCTCTCCTCTCTGTCTCTCTGTCTCTCTTTCTCTCTCTCCTGTCTCTCTCCTCTCTTTCCCCTCCAACACTTTTCCACACAAACTTTCTTCATGAAATTAATAATTTGTGACCAAAGATGAGTTAACTAGTGCCATTTGCCTCCCTAATTTTGCACGTTAAATTAATATGTCTGCAAGTTGACCATGGTGTCAGGACCTGTGAACTTCCCCTGATCAGGAATGGATATCAGTCATTTTGGATTTGACTGGGTTTACCATGGACTTTTTCACAATATCAGCATAGAACACTGGAAAGAAAAATTCCAAATAGGATATTCTTCTCTTTTATAAGCAAACATCTTAATTTTGTCTTTTCTTTCGTTTTCTTGTTTTTTCCTTTCAATGTAGATGAATTATTTATGTTTCAGGGTTGTAGCCAAATTAAGTTTATGACATATCTGTCTATCATCTCCATATCTCTCTCTATATATATCTATCATCTATATGTGTGTGTTTATGTTTACACTTCTACAAATACACACTCATTATACCAACATGTATGCATTAGGTCTACTAGGGTTATCTAAATTAAGTATTCCTAAAATAAAATTTCAAAATCATGGTAATTTTCTATACTATATATGATGTAATATAGTTTAACAATGTCTGTACTGTGAATGTTATTTTCTGTTACAGTACACTCAAGAGTTTGCATCACTGGAATAGTATTTCAACAAGTTTTTAAATGCAATAAAATTTTCTAATGTCACTGATTTCCTAATTTAAGATCCATCTAGTTTATATTATTTGAATAAATGTTGGCTTATTGCTTTTACAGAAAACTTTTTGTAAGTGTCCCATGTTTATGAGTCATTATAGGGCTTCATAATTATGATTATAATGAATTAAATTATGTTACTAATTTGATAAATAAAAATTATTGTGGTTTCTGAGTTATTTTCCCCTTGGTGGTACTGGAATTGAACGGAAGGCCTTGTGCTTGCCAATATGCTAACACTTGATCCAAACCTCAACCAGTTTTTTTTTTTTAATTTTTTTTTATTTTTCTTTTATTATTCATATGTGCATACAAGGTTGGTTCATTTCTCCCCCCTGCCCCCACCCCCTCCCTTACCACCCACTCCACCTCCTCCCTCTCCCACCCCTCAATACCCAGCAGAAACTATTTTGCCCTTATTTCTAATTTTGTTGTAGAGAGAGTATAAGCAATAATAGGAAGGAACAAGGGTTTTTGCTGGTTGAGATAAGGATAGCTATACAGGGCATTGACTCACATTGATTTCCTCTGCATGTGTGTTACCTTCTAGGTTAATTCTTTTTGATCTAACCTTTTCTCTAGTTTCTGTTCCCATTTTCCTATTGGCCTCAGTTGCTTTAAGGTATCTGCTTTAGTTTCTCTGCGTTAAGGGCAACAAATGCTAGCTAGTTTTTTAGGTGTCTTACCTATCCTCACCCCTTCCTTGTGTGCTCTCGCTTTTATCATGTGCTCATAGTCCAATCCCCTTGTTGTGTTTGCCCTTGATCTAATGTCCACATATGAGGGAGAACATATGATTTTTGGTCTTTTGGGCCAGGCTAACCTCACTCAGAATGATGTTCTCCAATTCCATCCATTTACCAGCGAATGATAACATTTCGTTCTTCTTCATGACTGCATAGAATTACATTGTGTATAGACACCACATTTTCTTAATCCATTCGTCAGTGGTGGGGCATCTTGGCTGTTTCCATAACTTGGCTATTGTGAATAGTGCCGCAATAAACATGGATGTGCAGGTGCCTCTGGAGTAACCTGTGTCACAGTCTTTTGGGTATATCCCCAAGAGTGGTATTGCTGGATCAAATGGTAGATCGATGTCCAACTTTTTAATTAGCCTCTAAATTTTTTTCCAGAGTGGTTGTACTAGTCTACATTCCCACCAACAGTGTAAGAGGGTTCCTTTTTCCCCGCATCCTCGCCAGCACATGTTGGTGGTGGTGTTGCTGGTGATGGCTATTCTAACAGGGGTGAGGTGGAATCTTAGCGTGGTTTTAATTTGCATTGGATTGGTAGAATCAACATAGTAAAAATGTCAATACTCCCAAAAGTAATCTACATGTTTATTGCAATTCCCATCAAAATTCCAATGACATTCATTAAAGAGATTGAAAAATCTACTGTTAAATTTATATGGAAACACAAGAGGCCACGAATAGCCAAGGCAATACTCAGTTAAAAGAACAATGCAGGAGGTATCACAATACCTGACTTCAAACTATATTACAAAGCAATAGCAATAAAAACAGCATGGTACTGGCACAAAAACAGACATGAAGACCAGTGGAACAGAATAGAGGACCCAGATATGAAGCCACACAACTATAACCAACTTATCTTTGACAAAGGAGCTAAAAATAAATGATGGAGAAATAGCAGCCTCTTCAACAAAAACTGCTGGGAAAACTGGTTAGCAGTCTGCAAAAAACTGAAACTAGATCCATGTATATCACCCTATACCAAGATTAACTCAAAATGGATCAAGGATCTTAATATCAGACCCCAAACTCTTAAGTTGATACAGTCTTTTTGCTCCTTAATTGTTTGCCTGGTGCCTTGCACTATTACTCTGACACTGGTCTCCAATCTCTGTTCTCTTACTTACACCTCCCACATAGTTAGGATTGCAATTATGCTCCAACATGCTCAGCCTTCATGGTTTGTTTTTTATTTTCCTCTTTCATTATCAATAATTTCGTATCTACAGGGTCTTCATGAGGCAGTAATTTTAAAAGTAATTTTTTACACTTTCTAATGAAGAAATTGTAGATTGTTTTGCTGCCGATATGTTACTGATAGGTTAAACAAAATAGTGTATATTTTACAGAATCTCAAAAGCTGTTTTACTGCTTGGATTAAGCAGAAGAAATACATAACTAATCATTATTTTTCACTCACCTGACTAGTAGTGGCAATGGTGGAGGTAAACTGTACCACTGTGACTAAATTCATTCTCTTGGGATTATCAGATGACCCTGAGCTGAGAGTCTTCCTCTTCCTGTTCTTCCTTCTTGTCTATGGAGTCACAGTCTTCTCCAACCTGGGCATGGCTGCACTGATTCAGCTCAGCTCTCAACTGCACACGCCCATGTACTTTTCCTCAGTCATTTGTCCTCTGTGGATTTATGCTACTCCACAGTCATTGTGCCAAAAATGCTGGCTAACATTGTGAGTAAAGACAAAGCCATTTCTTTCTTAGGATGTATGGTGCAATTGTATTTATTCTGTACTTTTGCAATCACTGATGTCTTCCTACTGGCTGTGATAGCCTATGACCGCTTTGTGGCCATCTGTAACCCTCTGTTGTACATAGTCTTTATGTCCCAGAAGCTCTGTGTGGTGTTGGTATTTGGCTGCTACCTCTATGCATCTCTGTGTGCTCTGATTCATTTATGTTTAGCCCTTGAGATTTCATCCTACAAGTTGAATGTGATCAACCACTTCTTTTGTGATCTACCCCCTCTTCTAAGTCTTGCTTGCTCTGATGTCACTATCAATGAGGTGCTGGTGTTCATTGTGGTCAATTTCAATGAGGCTCTTACCATTGTGATCATCCTGACCTCCTACTTGTTTATTCTTATCACCATCCTGAGGATGCGCTCTGCAGAAGGAAGACACAGAACATTTTCTACCTGTGCCTCCTACCTCACAGCCATCACTGTCTTCCATGGAACAATCCTTTTTGTTTATTGCCAGCATAGTTCTGGCAATAGTTTGGATATTGATAAAGTGACTACGGTATTCTACACAGTAGTGATTCCCATGTTGAACCCCCTGATCTACAGCCTGAGAAACAAAGATGTAAATGAAGCTCTCAGAAAAGTGGTGGGATCCAGTATAATTTCCTAAGCAACAGTTCAGTAACAAAATTTTTAGTTTCAACATGGAGATGGTTCTAGTGGTGAATAAGTTGCCTGAAGATGGGAATGGAAGAACAGTAAAATAACAAGATGAGGTTGAGTCTTATTCACTTATCTTAGTGTGTCTTTAATCTACAATAGAAGGATTGTGTGTTTCCAAAACTTACAGTTCACTTAAATGTTGTTCTAAAATTTTTAGTGTTTTAAATTGATATGGATAATATCACTACTAAGATACAGATACTTACATATTCAATCCTTCATATTTTTAATGAAGGATTTACAAAAATCATACATTTTTCTATATACTTTTACACATTGAATTAATAGTATTTTACAATGAAAAAACAGCTGTCAGTTCATGCAAAGAAAGAAAAATTCATATTTGTGTACAACTTTTGATTATTTTTATTGTTTCCTTTAGTATTTTGGTAGATTTTGCAATGTAAAGTGTTTTTTGGAAGGTGACATATCATCTCCTTTGAAAAACATGAGCAATAATAATAATTATTTGCCAAGAATCCAGAAATCTATTACATTTCATGTAGAAAGACAGAATAATTTTTATATATAATTCATTTTATCTTTTCTCTGAAGTCTCTTTTTCTGTCTCTCTTCATAATAATTAATCATTTAATAACAATTATTATCAATGACTGAATCTGCCTTTCTTACCTTCTTTCACTTTATCTTTAACTTCTTATAATCATGTTACCACTAATCTCCATTGAAGATGAAATATTTACTGACACATGTAAGTTGATTTCTATCCTCTGTTCATGATCTTTGCTTATATATTTGTTCTTCATAAAATACTCTTTTCACTTGTTTTATATGTACCCAAACCACAGCTACTCATTCAGTCTTCTTTCAGATGTACATTTCTTTTGCAGATCCATTAATATTGAAGTCAGTTTTAATATTGCACTCACTGTTTTAAATGTAGCTGCCATTCTTAAATCTATAAAATGTTAGAAAAGAAGAAAAAGCTTCAAGTTCGTGAGAACAAAACTTATTGTTTTGACCCTGATTTTTTAATTTGGAAAGTAATTTCACTTCTTTCATGCTTAGTTTCTTGAAATTTTAACATTGGATAATCCTGCCAAACTCATGGCATTTTATCAAGATTAAACTTTAACAATATGTACTTAATGACATTTTTATTTTCACAAAAAAATCCTTATTAATTGAAGTATGGTACAATAATTCTTTACTGTTAAGTATAAGATGTATACAATCATAGGGGTATAATAATTCATGCAAACATGTTTTAGAATAAAAATAATAGCATAGATAGTCAAATGTCAAAAATTTTCTTTAAATTTCTTTCAGGAAAAAGTGAATATATAAATTTAATATGAATCCATATTATCCTATAATTTTATGCTAAATTTTGTACCTTATACAAGATTTTCAAATCTCTTTCAAGAGTATTTTATTTCTATATCAAAGGCCTAAGTAGTTATTACAGAATAAATAAAAGGGTAGAAGAAAAGAGTTTCTAATTCTAATTGCTTTCTTAGAGGCCCCTGACAATACATGAAATTAATGTATTAAAGTGAAACTTGTGGAGAAATAATAAAGAGGACTTGATCCAAATAATTTAAGGCATCGATAAGCATGTTTACTCATGAGGGAGAAATACATGAGAAGATATTATAAAAAAGAAGATTTTATTTGGATTAATCTTCATGAAATTTGTTTACTTTGAATCTAGATAAAATTCCAAATTAAGTAAGAAAATGTTGAGAAAAGAAATTCTGTCTCTTTTGCAAAACAGAAAATGTAAAATAGATTTAGGTTTCAATGCATGGAAATAATTTTCAATGGTTATGTAAACATGATAAAATAAAATCACATTTCCCACATTTTTGGATGTGTTCACAATAAACCAGCTTCCAGGACACACTGTTGTTTTTATTTACTTTTATTTATCTGTTCTAACAATGCAAAAGATCAAACTCATGGTCACACACTTTACCACTGAGCTGTACCCATTTTCACTAATTTGGTATTTTAATTTGCCAAAACAATGGTGGATAGGTAGTAAAACAGCAGCATTCATCTTGTTTGAAATAAATGATGAACAATCCATTCTCAAAAAGCAAATTCTCTGTTTCTTTCCTTACTGGGTAAAAGATAACTTCATTTTGGGTCCTAAGAAACATTCCTCCTTAAATTTCATTCTTAGGAAAAGAAGATATAGATTGTTTAAGTGCACTAAAAAATTATTTTAAATTCTGGAGTGACACAATGAAGACAATAATTTGGGCATACAACCATGCAGGCATGAATACTTTTAGCAAATAGTGTTATGTTTTTTGTATTTGTAATTCTGTAACTTCAGATTTTAAAGTGTTCTTGTTAGGTCTTGTACCTGTAATTTAGTGCATAACTTATGTTTGTATTATTACTTTTAACTCATATGCCTTTACTTTTTTTTTTATTTTGAGAACACCTATTTGTGTGTTATAATTTTCTTTTTATTATTGTTGTGCTGGGGGTACATTGTGACATTTACAAAAGTTCTTAAAATATATCATAGTTTAATTCACCTCCTCTATCATTCTCCTTTATTTCCTCCTCCCCCATTCCTGAAATAGTTTCAACAGGTCTCATTTTTCAATTTACATTCAGGTATAGACAATATTTGCACTATTTTAAGTCTCCCACACTCTATCCCCATATCCTGCCCCCTCCCACTGGTACATTCAAGGCTAAAAAATACATCACAAATTTAAGTGGGAAACAAAAGATTTGGGGTTTTGGGGTGTGTCCAGAGTTATTTTATGACCAACAGAATTAATCTGAAATACATGGATCATAAGATTTCCTGTCATTTCTTTGTTCCTGAAGTCACATTCAAATTGTACTTGCTGTCCAGAATCATATTTATTAACCAGATGATTATGTTACTTTGCAACTAAAAAATTGTATAGAAATTGAACTTTCATTTCCCATGACAGTAAATCCCTGTATGATTTTATCTATAAGAATAATCACAGCAATCCTTATTTTTATGAATAACTTTTATGACATATTTTTGTGAAATGTTCTAAGAGAAATTAAAATATTATTGGAAACACAATGAATGTATGGAGGTAGGGACGAAGGCAGGGAGGGAAGAACTAAATTTTTGCTTTATTTATTTTTGCTAATTTTAATTAGCAAAATCATCCATGGATGGATAAATTCTTGTTAGAATAACACAGGAATCAGAATTCTTAAATGTTGTCATTTTAAAGACTATAAAAGTTTGTTTTTACAATGCAGTGTTACTTGATATTTTGGTTATCACTCATACAACGTGTCAAAATCCTCTTGAGTCCTTATCATCAATGCTCATTTTATTTATTGATTTTATTTATTTATTTATTATATTATTTTAATCTGTTGGTAAAAACAAACATAGTGACCCTATATTTTCAACAGGATTCTATACAATTATTAGCAAAATCCACTTCATCAGTCTCTAAGAAGTTAACTAAAAAAAATTGTTGAGATCCAGCCCAGTGGTTCAGATCTATAATCTCAGTATGAGGGAGGCAGAGATTAGGTGGATCATAGTCCTTGGCTATTTCTGAGGAAAAAGTGAAAACCTATCTGAAAAATAACTAAAAGAAAAGGGCTGGGGTATGGCTTAAGTGGTAGAGCATTGGGTAACAAGTATTATGCCCTGAGTTCAAACTGTAGTATTGAAAAAAATCTATGGCATGATTTATTAAGTAACAGTTAAAATAAAACATGTTTCAACTTTATTTAGCTCAGTTTTTAATTTAATTTTATTTCTATTTACATTTTTAGCAGTATTGGGATTTGTATACAAGGACTTGCACTTGCTAAGTGTATGCTTGCTCTACCACCTTAGCTTTAGTTTTTGTTCTTTTCTTTCTTAATAGTCTTGCTCTGTGGCCTGGCTTTGCCTCAGACCCCCACCCTCCTACATATACCCACTGCATAGCTGGGATTTCAGACACATGCCACTAGGCCAGGCTAGTTTTTTGAGAGCTGATCAAACTAACTTTTTTTCTTTTGCCCAGTTTGGCCTGCAACTATGGTTCTCTAATTTCTGCCTTCTGAGGAGATGAGATTAAAGGCATGAACCACCACAGCCAAGTGTTTTATGAAGCAGTTATTGAGCATCTGGCTGCAATTTAAGAGGTAGCAGCATAGAAAGTGATTTGTACCAATATCACAGCTATTCATAATATAAATTTGCAAAAAATGTAGAAATAGAATGAAATATTTGAAACTATCACACATGTTATTAGCATGTCGTTTAATGGTTAGAAAATGACTGATTCACCTCTAAGGTGAAGAAAACTGCAGGGTACCAAGTCTCAATGCTTTCAGATACATAGATAAGCTTAGATAGGAAGACAAAAAGAGAAAAAATGGGAGAGAGGGAAGAAAAAGTGAGGAGAGAGGGAGGAAGGAAGGAAAGAAGGGAAGGAAGAAGGGAAGAAAAAGAAAGTTTTTCTATCAGGTAGCAATCTAGATTTGAAGTAAAATTGACTTTAGAAACAGAATTCATTATTTTTTATATAGAGAGCCCAAAAGATTAAAAAAAAAACAACCTTCTAGAACTAAAATTGAGTTCATCAAAGTCACATTGTTGGAGCCATCTTGGCCACTTTTCTGGGATTTACAATATGTCTGGAATTTACACTGGTTTCCTCACATGACTCTGCAAGTGGATTTCTGCTAGCTCTGCAATATTGCATGCCCTCAATTGGCCCTGCAAGGTTTCCTGTAACTGTACCCACATTCTATAAGTGGGTGGGGAGTGGCAATTCTGTAATTGAGGCTCAGGGCTTTGAAAAATTATCTCCCTGAAGTCTCCTAGCATAATAAATTTCTTGCTTCCTGCAAAGTGGTCTCAGTGACTTGTTTCCCTCACTGTTTCCCGCAACATTTCTGATTCATTGACAGGGAGTGGGAGAGACCAAAGTTGATATTTTTGCCTCCCTGGCTATTGGGCAGTTGCCT